ATTTGAAAAGGTTTATGATGTTTGTCTTCTTTGATCTAAGTTCATTATTGAAATGAATGTAGTTATCATAAAAGCAGACTATATTTAGATTCATATGGACTGCTGTAGTTTGATGAAGATGAGTGTCATTAGTGTTTGTGTTATTGTTGATGTATTGTTGTGTTATTATTGATGTTTGATCGGCTATTGTGAGAAATAACAGTATTATCTTTCAGTAGAGCATGTTTTATAGGCTTGTATCTTATATAATCAGTTTCTAACAGCAAACACTCAGAATAAAGTGAGATGATCTGCTGATGATCTGAATGTGTTGATCGTCTGAGACTCATCAATATTAACAGAGCTGCTGAAAACACTCTTTCTTTCATGTCAATAGTCCCTGTTTTCACCTCATTTATTATGCTGATGTCTTCAGATCTCCTGTAAATTGTCATTTAAAGCTCATCTCATTGGTGTCAACAGACTGAGGCTTGTTTGTTACAAACGTGTGACTTTATACTTTCAAGTTAATTATTTGTATTTAGTCATTTTTGTCCAACAATATAGAGTTAGGAGGAATTAAGGCGAGGGAAGTGGAGGTGGAATACAAAGTAATTGTCACATTTTCTGGAATGATCGAAAACATCAACAATCCGAGAAGATTTACGAAAATAATCAAAACGTCGATTGGTAACAGTAAATCAGCAAGGTACTTATCAAAAAAGCGTGTCCTCCTTTTCTGTGTTGACAAAAAGCAACAAGAGGCTGCATTAAAAATCAGAGAGTTTGGTGGTGCAGCAGTTAAATGTCACGTTTTTACCAGGCGAACTTAAGCAACTTAAAGGAGTGATCACCGGGGTGCCCGTGTCCTTATCAGACGAGGTATTAAAAACACAGATAATAAACGAAATGGTGACGGAGGTGAAGCGTTTGCAATCCAATAGAAATGGCAGGAAAGAAATAAGTACAACTGTAGCAATAACCTTCAAATGCAAAAACTTACCGGAACGTACCAAAATTGGATATATGAGCTACATGGTTCGTCCCTATGTGAGACCAGTAATGAGATGTTTCAATTGTCAAAGATTGGGACATGTAGCAGCAGTTTGTAAAGGGAAAAAAAGATGCTGTAAATGTGGCGGAGATCATGAATATGGACAATGTGGAGAAATGTTGCAACTGTGGAGGACCACACAGTGCAGCATATCTAGGCTGTGAAGCCCAAAAAAGAGTGCAAGAAGTGATGAGAGACAAAATATAACATATGCCCAAATGGTCAAGCAAGTTCAGTCGAAGGACTGAATTGGAGCAAGTGGTGGGGGATGTGTGAAAGAGGGGGTAGTTTTTATACTCAAAGTGAATGTGTTGTTGTAGAGGTGTGTGGACACTTTACACACAGATAGTAACCTAACGGAAGGCTAGTAGAAGAGTTTATGGAAGAACAATGATGGCAAGGGCACTAGATTCAATATAAGGGATTCATCCACTGCATGTTTAGACCTAACATTAGTTCCTGGAAATATAGCTTTGAAGTGTAAATGGGAAGTTTTAGATCATGCAACATTAGGGAGTGATCATTTTCTGATAACATGTAATATTGGTATGGAAATACATAAACAAAATAGTACAAAGCAAACTAGATGGAGATTTGTTAAAGCTGATTGGGATAAATGTAACAAATTATGCACTAATGAATTGGCGAAATTTAGTACTGAAGATGATATAGACACATGTTGTACTAGATTAAATTCAAGTATTATTAAAGCAGCTGAAGAATCCATACCTACATCAGAGGGTGAAGGCAGAATCAAGATTAACTCTCTGTCCGTCCTGTCACGGCTATGGAGGCCGCCTGTGAACTCTCTTCCTGTTCTGTTCCGGCCAGGGAGGCCGTCTGTAAACTCTCTGCCTGTCCTGTCATGACTATGGAGGCCGTCTGTGAACTCTCTGCCTGTTCTGTCACGGCTATGGAGGCCGTCTGAGAATCCTCGTCCTGTTCTGTCACGGCTGTGGAGGCAGACTGCGAACTCTCAGCCTGTCCTGTCACGGTTGCGGAGGCCGTCTGTGAACTCTCTGTCCGTCCTGTCACGGCTATGGAGTTCGTTTATGAACTATTATCTCGTCCTGAACTGGTCAAGGAGACCGTTTTGCGAACTATTGCCCTGTCTCAACCAAGCCGAAGAAGCTGTTTCTGAACTCTCTGCCTTGTCTGTCACACCTGAAGATGCTGTCTGTGAACTTTCTGACTGTTCTGCTGCAGCTACAAGGGCCGTTCAGGAACTCTCATCTCTGTCTGTCACGGCCATTAAAACCTTTAATGAACTCCCTATATGCTTTGTTAACCCTGTCACAGGTCCAGAAACCTCTTGTGAACAATCTATCTGTCCTATCCATGAGGCTAACTGTGAACTGTCAACTTGTTCAGTGTTCCAGCGTGTTTGATTTCCCTGTCTGTCAAGAACCAGTCAATAATGTTGAGTTAGAGCTGTCAATCTTACCAGTTTCAATTAATGACTTCACAACGGAACTGTCTGCTTTTCTAGTATCTCCCAGTCAAGTCAAGTCACCTTTATTTATATAGCGCTTTTAACAATACAGATTGTGTCAAAGCAACTGAACAGCATTAATTAGGAAAATAGTGTGTCAATAATGCAAAATTACAATAGTAAACACTCATTTTTCAGTTAAAGGCAGTTCATCATTGAATTCAGTGATGTCATCATCAGTTCAGTTTAAATAGTATCTTTGCAATCAAATCAACGATATCGCTGGAAATGAAGTGTACCCAACTAAGAAAGCCAGAGGCGACAGCGGCAAGGAACCAAAACTCCATCGGTGACAGAATGGAGAAAAAAACTTGGGAGAAACCAGGCTCAGTCGGGGCTTCTTCTTCTTCTTCTTCTTCTTCTTCTTCTTCTTCTTCTTCTTCTTCTTCTTCTTCTTCTTCTTCTTCTTCTTCTTCTTCTTCTTCTTCTTCTTCTTCTTCTTCTTCTTCTTCTTCTTCTTCTTCTTCTTCTTCTTCTTCTGTGGGTTTAGTGGCGAGTTGCAGACCAGCTTTCGCTTGCATATCGCCACCTCCTGTGCTGGAGTGTGAAGGGATTTCAGTCTAGCTGTGCATTTTAAAATCTATATTCTGTTCTTAAGATCACTATTTTTAATGTATTTTAAAACAGCTTTTATAATTTAATATAATATATATATATCATTTGAAATAATAACGCAAGGAGCTGAAGCGAGCACCGCCGCCTCGAGAGGTTCTGCAGTATGGGCCGCCACCTCTGGAGAAGTTGCAGCGGGCGTCATCACCTTGGGGAACATGGCAGCGTGCGCCACTACCTCGGGAGGATCTGCAGCATCAGCCGCCACCTCGGGAGAAATCACAGTGGCTGCCGCCGTTTCTAAAGTTTTAGTGGTGGTGTATGCAGCCCAAATACACCATAAAGCGATCCCCATAGTGGGAAGCGATACAGAAGGGAATTAGTTCAGGAACTGAAGGGCTTGAGAGCGCTGGCTTAGGGATACCAGATGCACGTGCCGACACCAGCGGTGGGTTCTCCACGCTGGATACCAGTCTGGGATACTGAACAACAGCCCTTGAGGATCTGGGTGCAACAGACAAGAAGTGACAGGTCTCTGAGCGAACAGACGTGATGTGACATTACTCTGGATGATCAGCTGCGATGTGACGTGACTCTGGACGAACAGCTGTGATGTGACGTGACTCTGGACGAACAGCTGTGATGTGACATGACTCTGGACGATCAGCTGTAATGTGACGTGACGCTGGACGAACAGCTGTGATGTGACGTGACTCTGGATGAACAGCTGTGATGCGACGTGACTCTGAATGATCAACTGCGATGTGACGTGACTCTGGATGATCAGCTGCGATGTGACGTGACTCTGGATGATCAGCTGTGATGTGCCGTGACTCTGGACGAACAGCTGTAATGTGCCGTGACTCTGGACGAACAGCTGTGATGTGACGTGACTCTGGATGAACAGCTGTGATGTAATATGACTCTGGATGAACAGCTGTGATGTGGCAAGACACTGGATGATCAGTTGTGACGTGACGAGGCTCTGGATGATCAGTTGTGACGTGACGAGGCTCTGGCAGATCAGCTGAGACGTGACGAGGCTCTGGCAGATCAGCTGAGACTTGACTTGACTCATGAAGATCAGCTGTGACTTGACTTGACTCAGGAAGATCAGCTGTGACAAGACATGACTCATGACGATCAACTGTGACTTGACTTGACTCAGAATGATCAGCGATGACGTGACTTGACTCATGAAGGGCAACAGTGACATGACGGAGGGTGGTAGTCGCCGCCATTTCACGAGCGGGTTGAATCACCGGAGTAGCGATCAGTATACTTGAATGTGCCTGAGCTTGTGGCTGATAAAATCTCATGGCCGCCATTGCCGGCACGGACGCGATGTCGCATTCCTCCTCTGCAATACCCACAGTGACTAGAGAGCCAACAGTCAACAAAGCATAATCAAAAAACTGGCTGAGTGATGAATGTGGACCCTCACGTCTAAGCTTTGACTGAAGAGGTTGATGAACGCCATCCCCAAAAAAACTCTATCAAAATAATATCCGGTAAATCTGAATAGTGAGCAATGGCTAAAAACTCTCGAATATAGTTCTCCAATGATCGCGTGCCTCGTTTAAGGGCTAATAAAATTCTTGCGGTGTCCATACCCGGCCAGTGTCCACTTGAACAGCTGCCGGATCCTTGTGTGGCCGAGTATTCTGTTACGGGACGAACGAGACGTGAGATGTGTGGATCCATTAGCTAGCTTTATTTAGAAGACGTGGTCAGAAACAGGCATAGGTCAGACAATGGCAAACTGGTATGTAGAAGACATACTCCATAGCCGTGACAGGACAGGCAGAGAGTTCACAGATGGCCTCCATAGCCATGACAGGGCAGGCAGAGAGTTAACAGACGGCCTCCATAGCCGTGACAGGACAGGCATAGAGTTCACAGGTGGATACTACTGACACCTCTGGAGGTTCTGCAGCGGATGCCACCCCCTCTGGAGGTTCTACAGCAGTACCATCAGGAAATAGGGAGAGTTCATTAATATTCTCTTTTACAGGACAGGTACAGCGTTCATCAACGGTTCCTTCAACCACGACATGACAGGCTGAGAGTGCATTGCTGGGTGGCACCACCGTACAAGGAGCTGAAGCGA